ATCGAAAAGAAGTGATACAATCGTCGGTTGGTGATTGATCCGGAATCCATTGCAAGCGTTACCGCTGGGTTCACATTCCGGGCTTCCCCGACTTGCCGTGTAGTGAGGAAGGTGTACAGAATCGCCATGATGTTGGTAAAGAAATTTGAACGTTCGACGATCTCCTCGGTGATTGACGGAGTGGTAAGAAGCTGCAATGACAAATTTATGATGGAGTGATCTGGTTCTCGATCTGCTATCAAATACAGCTGGGCCAATGCCGTATATAGCGAAGCAAATCGAAGCCCGAGGATCCGCTTGAAGTCAGGGATATTGACAACTGTCCCCAGGCACAACTCCCTAGCATCAATGCGAGCTTTCTTCCATAGTCGTAAATCGTATAATATTAACCAATCGAGTCTTTTTCTCTTTCGAATATCCTCATAGGGGTGAATAGGGTGGCTGTGATAACGTGCAGGCTTGATTTCCCAATACGGCAGTGCTTTTGACAACTTTCTCATTCGGAATCCGGGAGTCTTAGGAATCTTGACAACGCTCGAGTTGGAAGCATCATGGTTCTCTCCTTGTGCCCGGCTCCCTTCGGGTTCTTCATTTTCATCTTCTCCCGCAGCTTCACCTCTCCCAATGGGAAGACTCGCCTCAGGCCAGCCTTCGTAGGCACTTGGGTTGATCAAAATAGCGGCCATTTCTGCCGCTACCCGTTCTTCCTCGCGGGTTCGAGCTGGAGGCGGTGGGGGGCGTGGATATCCAGCCAAAGTGGCCTCGCCTGCCTCCAAATCATCTTCAGTATTCATTTCCACGTCCGAATCATCTCTTGTGGCAAGTAACAGACTAGCAGCATCGTCCATGTCTTCATCTTCATCTCCGTCTTCTTCCCCTTCGTCAGGCTCATCGTCATCTTCTTCATCGGCATTCTCCTGGTCATCAGCAACGGCCAACGGGAAGTCCGGTTCAATTATGTCCCCCTCAGTAGTAAACCCAATAATGGCTCTGTAACTTCGCTCTTCGTCCCGTGAATGATCATCAACCTCATCCGATTCCGATGTCAGCATTGAA